TATTTCTGTTAACTTAAATATTTCTGAATTAATACTTTAACAAAGCTATTGAGGCAAAAGGCGCCACGAGGTATCTACCTAACAGAAATAAACAAATCTCTCGTATATATACAAATATACAAGTTGTATTATACAACTGAACAGCTGCCACCTGTCGCCCTCGACATCAGCGATTTTGACCAAACTTGGAACATTCCAAGTTTGGTCAAAATCGCTGATGTCGAGGGCGAAAGGTGGCAGCTGCCACCAACCTAGGTTTGGCGCATTTACATAAATTTACGAGGTTGCTCCTGACAAACCTAACCTAGGATAGTAAATCTTTTTGAAAATAGTGCCTTTTTAGTCCAATAAAATTGTCCCGGATTTTCACTGTCAGGCGTTCGTAACAATTGACAGAAGTATAGATGCGTTTAATCGCAATCTTAATTTTGGTACACACCTGCTGTTGAATGACTTTGTTGTTGTTGTTTGTTATATGGTTGTTGCACTTGTTTTTGTCCTTGCCCTTGCCCATGCCTTTGTTGCTTTTGGATAAAAAATGTATGTTAATTTTGGCTTAAACTAACTCCTTCCTGGTAACGATAATAAGCTGAGATCTAAAACTAAACATAGCAATTTCAGACTTGATGCAAGTTAAAACAAATTAAGTAAAGGTGCTTTGCATAGTACCTAGGTACCACTGATAAGAAAATATTACCCAAAATAATAAGGTTAAACAGGTACCTATTTAATTGTTTTAAACTATTTTTTTATGAAAAAGCACCTATACCCGTTAAAAATAAAGAATGAAATATTTAAAATCGCTAGAATATAAATTTTTGTAAATATAGGTATATGACTATAAATATCAAATTATAATTTGCAATCTCAATTAATTTGCTTTAACATAAATTATCTTTGAATGAACCTTATAAATAAAGAATATACTTAAATATATATAATATAAAGATAATTATTAACAATACAATTTATGTTGAAGCAAATTAATTGAGATTGAGACGCCATCGCCATTTTGTTATGCTATTTACTGCACGAGCCGGCAAACCACAGAGGCAAAGTGTTTACAATAGTTTTTAATATATACATATTTAGACACTTACCTACCAAAATTTCCACATCTAGATTTGAAACGTAAAAACCAATAACACTGATTGCACTTCCCATTAATTATTTTAGTAAAAATTGCACTGCATCTATTATGCACGCTAACGATAGACTGCGCTTTGAGGTTATGTTCTGTCACAGAACTTCTGTGTTGTTATCTTAACGTAGTCATATGAAACGTTCACGTACTTATAACATTTAACGTTGCCTTAATGGCACAAGATTTAACGTTGTAATTAATTCGTTCTCCTAACGCAGCAATGGATAACATTGCTGTACCACTACACTATTAACAGTTACTCAACGTTTCCGAAAAAACGTTATATTATCAACGTTGACACAACACACTGGCAATGTGTTCGAAAACACCATTAATTTACTGAATTGTATGAACGTCAGTATAACAATACAAAGTAACGTTCATTTTGATACTCTCTGCTAACGTTGACCAACGTTATTTAAACGTTTCTTGCTTAGTGGGAAGCGGTTCCAGTGAGGTTATTTGTTTTACGTAATTTTAATCTATAACCTCACATTATATGTTATATAATGTTATTAGAATGAAAGCAAATAAAGGTTTCGGTTCCGGTCCAACAGATTTTATCAAAAGCGAAAACGGTTTCGGTTCGGAAAAAAAAAACGGTTCCGTTCCGGTTTTCGGATTTTTTCGGTTTTGGTCCGGGTTCCTGATTAAGAGTTGTGGACGGGACAAAAAAAGATTTATCTTAAGATACAATTGTCCCGTCCACACCTGTCAATTATTTAAATTATCTTTTTACTTTCATAAAATATTCCTTGCGTTTTTTTTATTTAATGTATAGCCTAATAAAACAAAAATATTGTTGACAATACAGTTTTGTGATTTGTCCCGTCCGTATGCTTGAAATGGCGGCTAACCTCCCGGACAACATTCGTGATATTCATACGAACATCATGTCGTGATTTTCACAAATTTTATTCATACTGATATCATACGGAAGTCGCAGCGTGATAAATGAAAATCATACGAACGTCACGTCGTGATTTTCTCAAATTTTATTCATACGGACATCATACGGATGTCACTGCGAGAGAAATGAAAATCACGTCGTGATTTTTTACGCCATCGCAGTTTGCGATTGACCAATGGCCTAAAAAATCATGTCGTGATTTTTTATGCCAACGGTGTTTGGATAATCATTTTTGCGCCACGTTCGTACACTAAGAGAAAAATTATGTTGAATCAACAGTTTTTGTGGTTAAATACATTCAATATTGAATGTTAAACTGTTGATTCAATTTTTAACATACTTTTTCTTTCTTGGATTTAAATTAACTATATATAGTTAATTTAAATCCAAGAAAATATTAAATGTATTTAACCGCAAAAACTGTTGATTCAACATAATTTTTCTCTTAGTGTACGAACGTGGCGCCAAAATGAATATCCAAACACCGTTGGCATAAAAAATCACGACATGATTTTTTAGGCCATCGGTCAATCGCAAACAGCGATGGCATAAAAAATCACGACATGATTTTCATTTCTCACGCAGTGACATCCGTATGATGTCCGTATGAATACAATTTGTGAAAATCACGACGTGATGTTCGTATGAATATCACGAATGTATGAACCCTGCGTTCAAAACGTTCACGTTTTGTTAAACATTGAAATATCTTTTTTAATTGAACCCGGACAACATTCGTTTTATAAATTATAACGGTGTAATGTGAATAACAAACTAGGTTTTAAATTCGCAGTTCGCAGGGCTCATACGCATGCACAAATTTTGCAAATATCACACCGTGAGTACTACATGATATCAATGTGATAAAGCATTTTTATGCACTCAGGATATCACAGCGTGATAAAAAAAATCACGTTGTGATATCATCATGCCTTCACCAGGAAATCCCGATTGTTGTCCGGGAACTATTAATTTAAATCCAAAAAAATATTGAATGTATTTGACCACAAAAACTGTTGATTCAATATACATATATGGGGCAAAAATAAATATCCAAACACCGATGGCATAAAAAAACACGACATGATTTTTTATGCCATCGGTGTTTGGATATTCATTTTTGCGACACATTCGTTCATTGAAAGAAAAAGTATGTTAACAATTGAATCAACAGTTTAACATTCAATATTTTCTTGGATTTAAATTAATTATATATAGTTAATTTAAATCCAAGAAAATATTAAATGTATTTAACCGCAAAAACTGTTGATTCAACATAATTTTTCTCTTAGTGTACGAACTTGGCGCAAATATGATTATCCAAACACCGTTGGCATAAAAAATCACGACATGATTTTTTGTGCCATCGGTCAATTAATTAAAATAAATATTTATTTTCTTAAATAAAATAAAAAATATTTAAAACATGTTTTTAATACAATTTAAAAAAGTAACTTGCATCTGATTATTAATAATTATACAAATTAATTATAAAAATATATTTAAAAATACGATAACTTTTAAGCCTTGGTAAGATAAATCCATTCCTAAAACTTGGCAACACTTATGGTACCTATATACTATGCAGAGCTGTACAAGAAAAAAGTACTCGAGTAAAAGTACAAGTACTTTGAAAAAATGTACTCGAGTACAACCAATGTACTCGTGTCCATTTTTACATGTTTAATTTAAATATATTTATAAGTACAAGTACAAGAACTTTTTTGAAATGTACTCTGGACTGATTACCGAGTACATAAAAAGTACTTAAAGTACAAAATTTGAGTACAAGTACTTGAGTACCGCACGGCTCTAATACCATTGCAACACTGTTATGCACTTGCATAGTTCAGAGAAAAACCTTAAGGTTATAAATTTTAATTATGGCACTATTACATCAAATGCATTTCTGTGAAATCACCTGGACCTCACCTGGAGCTCATTAGCTGAATCATGGCTGAGCTCAACCTGAGTTCTTGATAAGATCATTTGTGAAATTAATTTCACAAATGATCTCATAAATAACTCAGGATGAGCTCAGCAATGATTCAGCTAATGAGCTCCAGGTGAGGTCCAGATGATTTCACAGAAATGCATTTGATGTCATAGTGAGTTCACTGTGAGCTCACGCGATGATTATCAGTGAATGATTTTTTAATGAGTCATAAATGTTATCTGGGTAGGATATAATCATTGACAAGTGATGCAATTATGTATTTATATTTAACAGTATATTGCCTTACCTAGTAATTCTCAAGCATAAAAAACTATTATAAAAAATTTGAAAAAAATAATTACGTTAAACTACTTTGTTTCCTATTCCTGCTGAATAAAAAGGGGGCGGCAAAAATATCTTCGCCCAGGGCGGCAAACAAAGTCGGGCCCTGATAAGAATAGTATTGCACCAAGTATCCTATTAATAGGATACTTGGTGAACCCTGTATATAACTATAGGTAGGTATATAAAGCATACGAGAGATTTAGTCTCTGTAGAGTTTTTAGGTTTATATTATTTAATTCATATTTTTATTTAAAATAAAATATTGCAGACAGTAATAATAATTTTTATTTATAAATATTAAATTTTATGAACACCCAAATTAGTAAAATTTTAGTATTGTTTAAACTTTAAATTTCTAATCAAACACATAGAAAACCCTGAAGGGGTCACAACTTATGCGCTTGTTTACAGAACAGCGATGTTTGTAAATAGATAAACAACGAATTAAGCTTGCACAATTTTATCACATGATGTTCCGCTGCAATGTTGCCGGGTACATCAAAATATTTAATATCCGTTTGCTAATTAATTTATTTATTAGCAAATTGTATAAAAAAATAAAATATCGGTAGTATTTTATAATTTACATGAAGGTTTTAATGAAATTAAAATTATTTACTACGCGTTCTACTTTTTAGAGGTCAATAGTATTTTATGTCTCCATGTTGGCAATACCGAGCATTCTGGTGTCAACGGTTGTCATTTTACTTTCATCTGTAATTCCGAAAGTTTCTTTTGTTTTGTCAAAGTTTTTCGTGTAATATTATAGAAAAATGGAAAATCCGGAAGAACTATTACAAAGTCTCGAGGAATTTTCAAAATTAAAACCACATGATATTCCTAGAGAATTAGAAGAGTATCTTTGTTTTGTTGCAAAAACAGGAGATCCTGTATACCAGTGGGGAGCAATTAAAACATTGTTTAGAGAAAAACTTATAAACGTTATTACCGAGTTTTATGAATCCTGTGCTTCAATGGAAATTCAGGCATGTCCTAATGTCGAAATATTCAACTATGATTCCATGAAGAATTTTATTTTGGAAAAGTTGGATACTTTTGTTTCTGCACCATTCACTGTTCAAAGAATATGCGAGCTTTTAACCACTCCAAGAAAAGAATATAATAGAATAGACAAATACATGAGGGCTTTAGAAAAAAACATACTAGTTGTAAGTACCACCGAACCTGGAGGTCGACAAAATACCAAGAACGGAGAGGGTGCTATGAATGGAATTGACTCAGAACATATTCCAGAGTCCAGCCATTGTAATAATGATATTAATGTCGAAGAGATGGATGATGCTACATCTTGGCAAAATGGTAATCCGGCAAGTGAAATAATTGAATCTACTTTAAATGTCAGTGATTCCAAGAACATAACTGAGGAAATTGTTTCTTCAGAAAATAAGGAGCCTGAATCTTCTACAATAGACACTGTTATAACCTGCCAACCTTCAGAAGAACCTACATCTGCTGAAGAATTGTTTGTCTCAATAAAGTTAGAAACTGAGTGTAAAACTGCAGTGGAGTCTGAAACAATATTGACAGAACCTGTTTCTAATATGCCAGAAAATTTACAAATAAGTTTGGAACCAGAAACTTTATCTGAAGAAACAAAACCAGAGGTAAGTTTAGTTAATTTAAAGTTTACAAGCCCAAAATTATTAAAAATAGTTTAGAAGTTTTGTTAAATACACAAAACTTTTTGAGAGTTAAATATTTTTTGTTATTTTAGAATGCTGATGTTCCCAATGAAAATACCCAGGAGGCTAAAAATGAAACTAATGAAGCTGAAAGTAAGGAAGACAATCAAGTAAAAGATGAAGACAGAATTATTTTAACCTCCACTGATTCTGGAATAGAAAATATTTCACCAGAATCAAGCACTTCTTCCCCAGAAAATTTACAAACTGAATTGGAAACAACTACTGAAAAGCCACCCGAACAGTTGGAAACTTCTTCTGAAAATTTAGAACCTGTAACTTCAGATATTGAACCAAACAGCAATACAAATCAACTTCCAGAAAAGAATGTTAATGAAGCAGTAAACTCAGAATATAAAAAAGTTAAAAAAGTAATTGATGAAAATCCACTATGTGAAATTGTCAAAGATGGAGGAGAATCAAAAAAATTATCTTCCTTTGTTGAAGAAAAAAAAGAGACAATAGAAGCTAATAAACCTGAACAAATTGAATCTATTGAAACATTGACTGAAGAAAAACCTTTAGAATATAATCCTGAACCTGCCAAGGAAGAAGTCCAAGAAGAAACAAAGAATGTTGAAGAAAAGGAAACTCCAATGGACGTTGATAGTTCCATCGATAAAATTGAAGAGAGTGGTGATAAATTGGATGATGTTTAGGATTTTCAAATTTTTGTGCTGAAAACAAGGTAATTTTTTATATACCAGAGACTTTGTTTTGTAACTATTTTTTATTTAAATAAACAGTAGATGCTAAATGTACTTTTGTTTCAGATAAAATTATATACTTCAGCATTTGTTAAACCTAATGTTCATTTGAAATCCATAGTATGCTAAATTTAAAATATGTATAATATTGTTTTTTTAAAATTACTCTAAACATCCAGTATAGCTAATGACAATGAGATATTCTTAGAGGATGTAAGTGTATTGAAATTTAGATTTAATTTTTTAAATTTGTATCTAATTTTAAATGTTTTTATTTTTAAAGAACTGATTAAAGATTAATACTGATTTTCTTTTTATTTTAATACCTAATCAATTAAAATAATATATTTATATAAATATACAGTGTGTCCACAGATGGACTTATCTATACTTGTAAAAATATAAATATAAAAATATTTTAAATTTTTCAAAAAATGTATTTCTTCGTATTTTTTTTTCCTTATTATATAAATACGATTCACGTTGAGAAACTTTCATTTTGTTTTACAGGATGCGCAAAAAAATACAATTGTAGATTTTTCAAAATTAAATTTTTTTAAATATGTATTTTTTTGAAGGTCTAATATGAAGAGCTTGTTAGAAGAAACCAATAAACCAAATAAAATTTTTTTATGTGAGTTCTTGTTACTAAGATATTTATTATTAAAAATAAAATCGATTCAGGTCCTAACTTGAGTGGTCCTATTACTTTGTAGAAATTAACTGCTCATTTTGTGATTAAGAATCAAAGTTGTTGCTTTCAACTGACATGTCTACAATTATTTGTTAAAATTTTAAAACTAATATCTTTAATTTTGAATATCAAATATCTTGGTATCAAAAACTCATATGAAAAACGTCATTTGACTTTGATTTCCCCTTACCAGCTCTTTTTTTTAGCGCTTCAAAAAATTATTTAAAAATTTTTAATTTAAAAAAACTATTTTTGCTCACCCTGTATAACAAAATAAATATACAAGGTGTCCCTAAACTTATTGGCATAAATTTAGTAAAACATTGAGCAAGTCAAAATAAGACGAAAACCCAAATAACGACTTTTAGTCGTTTTTTCACGTAAATACTATGAAATACTACGGTTAAATAAGTCATGACGTCACAGTTAATTCATATAACCATGGTTAGGTTTCTAACCAGGGTTGTTCCTGGCTAATTTTTCAAAGTGTAGAACTGGATAATGAAATTGTGTAGCATTGTGCAGTTTTAAAATGGGGCGTCGGCGTTTGCGACATCTTTGGCCAGATTGGCGAATTCGAAAAATTCAATTCGTTTTGGTGGTTATTAGAATATACAGCCTGTTCAGAATAAAACCGAATATATCTATATATATATATGGGGCGTGGCCTCGCCTCCCTCCAACGCGCGACACATTAGCTGATCAAATAGCCTGCATCGCTAATGAGATTTTTTGCATTATTATCATTAAATTTTTTAAGTCCTTACCTGCTCGACCTTTCGTCATGTCGTTTATCACACAAGCTACTGTGACGCGCCTTGGAGGGAGGCGAGGCCACGCCCCATATATATATATTAGGGTGTGCCAAAAAAATAGTTTTTTTCTTGCTCTCCACCCAAAATATCGTAGAATATGTCCGAACAAATATTCTGTTAAAAGCGGAGCTCATAATTTCAATTTTAAGAGGTCCCTCATCGAATCTGAAGTTTTGCCGCTTAAATACCACAGAAAACTGACCTTTTTACCTTATTTATTCTTGCAACCTAGGAAGAAATTTTTTTTTCATAAAATCCATGACCAAATCTTACAAAGCATTAAACTTGGACGAAAAAATCTTTTTAAGCCGAATTTCTATTTTCATTATTTAATTTTTTACAGAGCTTTAAATTTAAAATTTTACGTTTTTTGCCTTTTTCAGCTAAACTATTGAAGTTAGACGAAAAAGTCAAATGGTAATTTTTTAGCTTGTCTGATGGACCACAAAAAAGTTTTAGGCGAATTTTTTATATCGTCAATATTCTAAAAGTTACAGGCGTATAAAGTCATCATTTTTGTATTATTATCTTTAAATTTAAATAAAGTAAAAAATTAAATAATGAAAATAGAAATTCGGCTTAATAAGATTTTTTTGTCCAAATTTAATGCTTTGTAAGAATTAGTCATGGATTTTACGAAAAAAAAAAATCTTCCTAGGTTGCAAGAATAAATAAGGTAAAAAAGTCAGTTTTCTGTGTTATTTAAGCGGCAAAACTTCAGATTCGATGAGGGACCTCTTAAAATTGAAATTATGAGCTCCGCTTTTAACAGAATATTTGTTCGGACATATTCTACGATATTTTGGGTGGAGAGCAAGAAAAAAAAAATATCGAGTTTTTTTGGCACACCCTAATATATATATAGATATATTCGGTTTTAATTTGAACTGGCTGTAGATGGTGACTCGTGCAGTTTTACCAGAGTTCTACAGTAGTTTTACACTATAGGGACCATAGATTTTTATCTTTATCTAATCTATGATAAGGACTCTACTCAAGAGGGTTTCTTGTAAAAAGAAAATTTTTTTTATTGATTGCTTATAATTGTGTAGTTTTTTGTTTACTTTATCAAAAAAGTGTAGCAAAACAATAAAATTTGCCATTGGGGTGCCCCGGTGTAGCTACTTGTTAAAAAGTGTAGCATTTTGCACAATTGTGTAGCTTGGAACAACCCTGTTTCTAACATTTGACATTTGTTTACTTGTTCATAACCTATAATTTTTTAAATGTGTTTTTACCTATTTATATTTAATTTCTATGCTTTTACAGGTGTAAATAAATTTCTTTGCCTCTTCTTATACCTTAAGAACTATGATCCTTAGTTCTTATACCTACCTTTTCTATACCTCTTTTTATATATAAACAGTTCTTCCCTGTTGTTTACCATAACTAAAATCCATGTAGTGTTTAACGTTTATACGAAAATTATTATTGTGAAACTCAAAATTTAGAATGGAACCCCAAAGAAAAAGACGAAGGTTGGCGGTATGTTTTGGAGAAGATATGTTTAGCACACAACATTATTCCTACTTAAACATATTAAATATATATATTAAAAAGAGAAAGACTATTAACCACGTTGAATAACTAGCTCAGCGATATAGTTTTATGGTCTGGTATTTGTGACGTCATAGTTAGGATTTTTGAACGCACTCTAAACGCAAAAATGCCTTAACTATTAACCAAGGTTAAAGCTGGATTTATAGTTTTAAAGGTAACGGTAGAGGCAGCGGTAAAGGTAGAGGTAAAGGTAGCGGTAGCGGTAGCCGAGTTCGGCATTGAATATTGTACGAAACAATTTATAGTTGTCAGAGGTAGCGGTAAGAGAGGTAAAGGCAAGAAGGTAGCGGCAAGAGATGACCATCTTTCATCTTTTCTTACCTCAACCGCTACTACAGCCAATCACACGGCAGTTTTTAGTTAGCAGTGTCGCCTTGTAAGTTTAGTTTTTATGCGAGGGGCAACCAGACTTGATAATTTGTCAAAAATGGGCACCGTCATTTGTGTATTTAAAGAACTACTCTTTATCGGTCAGTTTTATTTTATTTTAATACTGGAAATGGCGTTTCTTAGCTCGTTCACGATTTAATTCCCTCATTTTATAGCGACGTACTTGACGACCCCCATAACGTACTTTAAACCCTGCAATACAACATAATATATTGTTTTGCAGGGTTTATTATATAATATTTCGCACAACGCCATATGGCCCAGAAGCACAGCTGTGCTAGCATTGTCCTCGCAAGCCATGTTTTCGTAGAAAACTTAACCTTTTGCTGTCAAATTTTACAAACAAAATTACAATCTGCATTAAAGTACGCATGCGCCACCAGTACCGCTACCGCTACTTTCTGAACTATAAATTGCAGAAAGTGATACTGCTACCGCTACCTTTACCTCTACCTTTACCGCTGCCTCTACCGTTACCTTTAAAACTATAAATCCGGCTTAAGTTTAATAACCATAGTATTTCATGGTATTTACGCGAAAAAAAGACTTTAAGTAATATAATTATCATATCAGTTTTTTTAATATAACCTCTACTATGGTTGTCTTGGATAGATGATATTTTGCGAACAATCACTTACTACCAAAACACATATTCACACATAATTATAAAGCTGGATTTATAGTTTTAAAGGTAACGGTAGAGGCAGCGGTAAAGGTAGAGGTAAAGGTAGCGGTAGCGGTATCACTTTCTACAATTTATAGTTCAGAAAGTAGCGGTAGCGGTACTGGTGGCGCATGCGTACTTTAATGCAGATTGTAATTTTGTTTCTAAAATTTAATAGCAAAAGGTTAAGTTTTCTATGAAAACATGAATTGCGAGGACAATGCTGTGCTTCTGGGCCATATATGGCGTTGTGCGAAATATTATATAATAAACCCTGCAACACAATATATTATATATACAATATATTATACAATATATTATGTTGTATTGCAGGGTTTCAAGTACGTTATGGGGGTCGTCAAGTACGTCGCTATAAAACGAGGGAATTAAATCGGGAACGAGCTAAGATTTCCAGTATTAAAATAAAATAAAATAAAATTGACCGATAAAGAGTAGTTCTTTAAATACACAAATGACGGTGACCATTTTTGACAAATTATCAAGTCTGGTTGCCCCTCGCATAAAAACTAAACTTACAAGGCGAGGCTGCCAACTGAAAACTGCCGTGTGATTGGCTGGAGTAGCGGTTGAGGTAAGAAAAGATGAAAGATGGTCATCTCTTGCCGCTACCTTCTTGCCTCTACCTCTCTTACCGCTACCTCTGACAACTATAAATTGTTTCGTACAATATTCAATGCCGAACTCGGCTACCGCTACCGCTACCTTTACCTCTACCTTTACCGCTGCCTCTACCGTTACCTTTAAAACTATAAATCCAGCTTAATTGTTGGAGTGAACACAGTGTCGTAGAAACGGGGGTTGCTTTAAGCTTATTGTCCACACATATACCGCTTATTGCCTATATTTTGTATAGATGACCTTGTTCCCGTTTCTAAGGGGAAATTTGTTCTCGTAGTGTGTCATTTTCCTTTATGCGCATAGTCAGTTCATAAGTGGGGGATTTAAAATACGATGTGGCTCCCGTCCCGAGGCGGGACTTAACTTCGATCCCGACAGACGTCACATATACACATATACTGTAAATCCGTTTTTATTTCCCGAGCTTTTATAATTGGTGTCAAGCTGGATAGCTTAGATGGTAGGGCGGTCGTTTGGCATGCGAGATGTACCGGGTTCGATTCTACTAGAAGTTGTCAAACTTTTTTTATTTTTTTTT